CAAACACCTCCAGCGTGGATGGTTCTTATCTTTTGTCCTCTTTGTCAGTTTGCTGGACAAGAACTCTGACTTGTTTTGATGTGTATTTCTGTCTGTCTGCCTGTCTTTTCTTTTTTTCTTTCTTTTTGGTGAGGCAGTCAGGGTTAAGTGACTTGCCCAGGGTCACACAGCTAGTAAGTGTCAAATGTCTGAGGCTGGATTTGAACTCAGGTCCTCCTGACTACAAGGCCAGTTCTGTCCCCTGCACCACCTCACTTACCCCCATTTGTATTTCTTTTGTTAGTGATTTGGAGCAGTCTTCCATATGCAGATCTTTGAGAAATGTTTGTTCCTATCCTTTGACTACATTCATTGTAAAATAACTTTGGGTCTTATATATTTGTGGTATTTTTCTATTTGTCTTGTATGTCAGATCCTTATTAGAGACACGGTATGGTTTTCAGTGGCATAGTCCTAGGCAGATTGTGAAATAGCTGATCTTTGCTGACCTGCTCTCTCCACTAGCACCCACCTCGCCTTCTCCTGGCATGTTCCCCTCCCCACCTCTATACTACGGTCTCTCGTATTCTTAGCTAATGTCTTGGAGGGCCTTAACTGATAACTGAGATATTACCTTAGGTAATATCACATGGAAGCATCTGCAGGGCTGTTGGCATTGAGCCAAAGGAAAGTTATGACTCTGCAGTGACCACAGGAAGGCTAATGATGTTTTGGATAAGGCACATCCCTCCTCAGGGTCAGCTTGGCTGGGGTTGGACAGATGGGGGTGTATGGATGAGCGTGTAGAGATGACCCTTCTGTATTCCCAACCTTTGATTTTTTCTGCTGCCAGGAACCTGAGGTTTATTAGGTAAAAGGTTATAGTGGAAAGAGTGCTGAAGGGTGCTGAACTTGGAGTCACAGGACTTGAGTTCAGATCTCCTCTGCCACTTACCACCTGTGTGACTTTAAGTCATTTGACTTCTCTCACGTTCAGTTTCCTCACCTGTGAAAAAAGGGGTTGGACTAGGTAACCTCTAGGGTCCCTTCAAACCCTCTACCTTAAAATAGTGCCCAGGGTATAGGTGACAAATTTTTTCCCTTTGCCAAAAGCTCTTCCTGGCTTTCTCATGGCATACCTGACTTTTGTTGGTGATGGTAGCAAGTCGCCAGAGGACACTGCCTTTCATTCCTCTTAGTAAACAGAAACATGCCAGGCTTTACTAGAATGGTAGTAACAGTAAAGAAAATTGTCCATTGAAGTTTATTCATGTTTTTCCTCATATGGTCTTAATCTTTAAGAAAAGTAGCCTTCCTTGTCTTTTTGTTTTAAATTTGAAAAACAACCAACACGAACATTTTCATATCACAGGAACAGAAAAAGAGGATTATATGTGAAGAATGGATCTTGATTATGTACAGCTTGAGTTTTATAAAAATTCAACAGTTTCAAAGCTAGACAGCTAGATAAAGGCAGCTGAGGGAGCAGTGGTGTACTTAGCGCTGGATCTGGAGTCACTAAGATCTGAATTCAAATGTGGCCTCACACATTTAACTAGCTGTGTGACCGTGGCATATCACTTAACCACTGTCTGCCTCAGTTTCCTCATTTATAAAATGATTATTATAATAATAGCACCTGCCTTCAGGGTTGTTGTGGGAACCAAATGAATTAATATTTGTAAATACTTTGCAAACTTTAAAGCACTCTATAAATAATTAATTAAAGCAGCCTGTGTTTATGTCTCTTTCCGAACCTGGTTCTCTTCTCTTCTCTTCTGTGTATTTTTTAACAGTGCTTCAATGACGTTTTCTTTGTTTGCATTTTTGGGGCATCATTATTGATAGTCCCTCTCAACTCCTCCCACTCCCCTATTGAAGCGGGAAGAAAATCCTTGTAATTGATCAACATAGTCAAGCAAAACAAATCTACACATTGCCAGTGTCAGGAAATGTGTGTTGTTTATATTCGAGTCCCCCACCTGTCTGCCAGGTGATAATGGATACTGTGTTTTATTGTTACTGCTCTAGAGCTGTGCTCAGTCACAGCTTTGTTCACTTTCTAGGTTTTTAAGCCTTCATTTTTCTATGACAGTGACCTTTGCTTCAGAAAATGAGAATCAATGTGCTGCTTTGGATAGAGGGATGAAATTGGAGGCAGAAACTTCTCTGAACCTTGGTTTTCTCTTCTGCAAAATGGAGATGTACTGCCTTTTATTACAGTAGTGTTCTTGGGCTCAAAAGAGATAATTTATGTAAATTGTTTTCTTAATGTGCAGTATAAATGTCATTTTATAAACAAAAGGTTCCCCCCCATAGGAAATATGACCTTTTCTCCTTTTTCCTATGAATCTGCTTTTCAGTTTTAATTTGACCTCTAGAAAATAAAATTTAAAAAACCCTACAGACTTTTTGTCTGAATGAAATGATATAGTCACAAGTATCTGTTGTAGAATTTCTTGTACTTTTCAGTTTTGCTGTGGGATTAGCAGCCAGGGTAGTTTGGATTTAAATGGCTAGACAGATTATATATAATACTTTTTTTTCTTACAAAGAGTTCTTTTTTTGTGAGTCAATAGAACATTAATACATATTCTTTATAGGTCAGAGAGGCATGGGTCGCATTTTTATACCCTACATTTAAAAATAATGATTTAATCTGTTTTTCAGAATAATTTTGCAGCAATTACAAACAACCTTGATTTATTAATTTTGTTGACCAAAGGTAATTGACATGTGTATTTGTACTGTCATTAAGAAGTGAAGTATCTCTTTCTACCTCACAAAATTGTTTTGAATTAGGTGCTTTATAGTAATGTGGAAATAGAAGTGATTATTATTCCAATAGAATGAGCTAGAAATTTGGGAACATTCTTTGCCAGTATGGTAGAATAGTAATTGCCACCAAAAACAATGTTTGTATGCACTGATTTTTCTTTAACAGTATAATTTTTGTTTATAAGTGAGTGGATTTTTAAATGTTAGTATTTTGTTGGGATCATCGTTCGATGAGCTTACTATAGGTAAGACTTTCAGTGATAAAGTGTCATAGCCTAAAGACTGCTGACAAGAAAATAGGTTTCAGATAAGTTTCTGGATTGTTTGAAGTGGTTGGGAATGATTGATGTTTATTCACTGGTGACATTTTTCACAGAATCCCAGAATGTTTAGACAGAGAGGGGTCCTTAGAGATCATCTAGTCCACCCCCCTCATTTGACAAATGAGGATCCAGAAACCCAGAGATGGGAAGGGAATTAGCCAGGGCAGCTGAGCTACTACTAAGTGGCTGCTCTGGGCCTTGAACTTCACAGCTATGCTTTTTCTACTACATCACTATTTAAAACTTTTGAGTTTTAACATCTCTTAAAACTAACTTCCTATAATTAATTTTTAAACCTTAAAATAACAACAAAAGCAATTCACATGAGAAAAAAATGGTTTAAAATTATAAAATTATCAAAATATAATATAAAATTATTTTAAATTATTGAAATTTGAAAAAAAATTATTGCTTTTATCCACTTTACTTAGATTTTATGAAAAGGCAAAGTTGGGTTAGGGTTCCTACCCTCTCCTTTTCTTAGAATATTCCAGAGGGAACTTTAAATTGTCTAGAGTAGGGATACTTAATCTTTGTTTTGTCCTAGACTCCTGGCAGTTTGGTGATGCCTTTGGACCCTTTTTTCAAAATAATGTTTTTAAATGCATAAAATAAAATACGTAATATTGGAAATACAGCCAGATCAACAGGCATTTATTAAGCACTTAATATGTGTCAGGCACCATGCTAAGTGATGGGGATACAAAGAGGCAAAAAAGGTTTCTGTTCCTAAGGAACCCTCCAACAGCTGTGTACAAACGAGTTTATATACAAGATATATTGGAGATCATCTTAAAGGGAGGCAAAAGCATTCAGGGAGACTTGCAAAGGTTTCTTGGGGAAGGTGGGATTTTGACTAAGACTTGAAGGAAGCCAGAAGACAGGACAAGGAGGCAAAGTATTCTAGGCATGGGAGAGTGCTAGTGAAAATGCAGCGTTCAGTGCTGCAAACTGCAAGAGGCCAGGGTCACTGTTAACACAGTTAATGGTAAATACAAGTGTAAATACAACTAAAACATTTTAAAAACAAGTTCATGGACCCCAGAATAACAACCCTTGGTTTAGTAAAAGCAATTTACAACCTCCTACAGAGAGATATTGCAGTCAGTAACTTTTTTCCTGCCATTTAACTTTCATCCTCGTTGCTGAAATTTAAACACATTCTCTTTTCACCCAACTTTTGTTAGAAATAAAATAGACTGTAAAAGGAATGGGTGAGAGCAGAATTTTACAGAAAATATTTATAGGTTATATTCACCACTATGTTCGAGCAGGCCCTGTGGTGACCAGGACAATCAGAATACATATGCAAACTAAGTTACACCTTGTATCAATATTCTGTATGTGAAGGATGGCCAAGAAGTTTCTAGATTCTAAGCTCCCACAGGCAAGAACTGTACATTATTCATATTGTATTTTTCTCAGTGCTTTGCACACAACTGACATTCAGATGTTTGTTGAATAAATGCTGAAAGATAACGAACTTTTAAGAATTTAGGAATCTTTATTTTAGCTCTGGTAACACAGCCTCCTTCAGCCCTACCTATCCCATTTATAAGATTGGACTAAACAAGCTGTTACGAGAAGTAACTGGTAATTGGTATTTGAAAGGACTCTGGAAATTGAGGATTTACTTATGGGAAATTATGTTAAGGAGAAAAGACTTGAAAAATAGCTTAAGAAAAGGCTCCAAAGCCTCTAGGATGGGAAGGCAATCCCAAGATGCACAGTTGGGACCTTAATTTAAGAGATACTGGTTAAATAATGTAAGAAGCTGATAGTACCTGAGGATCATTGGGATGCCAGGGCTTCCAAAACCACTGACTGCATATAGCAGTATTGCATCTGTGTCTTTGCCAATTTTGAGTTTTAAACATTTCATCTCAGATTTACTTATAGAATTATGAATTACTCTTTCAGGTGTTTCTACTGATTGGTATGCAACACTGGATATGCTGAAAGAAAGCTGTCGGATCGCTAGCAGTGTTAATTGGTCAGACGTGGATCTTTCACAGTTCCAAGGTTAGTTGTGGCTATATTTTAACATAACTAAAGACATGTCCTGCCATTTTTGTATATTTCATTTTCTTTAGCTATTAGAAATACCCATCCTATAGCATGTAACATTTTTCTGTGCTTGAAAACAGACACTTTGCAATGGCCATGTAAAATTGGTATGGGCTCACAGCCTGAAAAGAATTAGGCCAGAACTTAAATCAGGTGGATTGAGGGCAGACTTTTAAAAATCTGAGCAATAGTACAAGTGCTTTAGGCCTCAGAATTACTTCAAGAATCCATTGCTACTGCCCTAGGAAAGGCCAGTAGAAAGTTTTTGGGCTGAAAAAGCTTTTGGCTGTTGGCTAAATCTCTCCCTACCCCACCCCCACCCCAATTGTCTGCAAGGCTGTGTTAAATATTTCTTTTAATTTTTTTCCACCACAGGTTTGATGGAGAGTATGAGACAGGCTGATCTCAAGAACTGGTCCTTAGATCAGGTCCAATTTGCAGATCTCTGTTCTTCTCTTAATCAGTTTTTTACCCAAACTGGTCTTATCCATACACAGAGTAATGTTCAGCAAAGTGTTTGTCACAATGCCATACACCCAACAAAACCTTCCCAGCACATTGGAACAGGTATAGAGTTTTTGTGTAGTAATTTCCTTGTTTTTATTTTTTCCTCTTTATTTTAAATTGACATTTTAGTGTCTAGTAGCTGATGTTCAGGTTTTGAATCATTTAGATCCTCTCTTCAAATCATTAAATGCAAAATGTCTTCATCTTAGTTACTGTTGTTTGTAGTTTGTAATGTTGGTAAGACTTTATCATAAACCTTTCTGCAAAAAGACTTTTATAATTGCTTTTTGCCTTTTTAAACTTTTTTCCCTTAGCATTTTATTATTTTTATATTAGTTAAAAAATATCAGCAAGTATTTAAATACTAACGGTGTGTTGTACTAAAGTTATTTTTTATATTTTGATATTAACTTAAAATTTTGAAATTCTCTGTACTTTAATTTGTTTGGAATTAATAACTTGGAATAAAAGTAGCAATCATATTTGGATATGGGGCAGTGGAAAGAAAGCTGGATTTAATGTCTTACATGAACAGGACCTGTTCAAATACCAGCTTGATTACTTACCTACCTTTCATGATATGTTAAATGACCTTTCTGGACCTGAGTATTTCATCTGTTGGACTCAGTGAACTTGAGGGTCCCTTCTTACTGCCAGATCTGTGAACTTGTGATGTATAAAAAGGAAGGAAAAAAGATCACACAGTCATTTATTTGGAAGTGAGGAGCAATAAAAAACTAAAACTGACTAAAACTATTTTGCTCCTGACACTAAATTTTTTTTCCTAAGCCTAATTAACAAAATCCAAGTATTATCTGTTTTCCTTTTTTCCTCTAAAACGAAGGTCTTCCTAATAGCTTCATTTTCTTTTCTGCTCTTCATATTTCACCATTTGCCACATTGTAGAAGTTTGAGCATGTATGCTTTTTTGCTTCTGAATCTTAATTTTTTGCATTTCCTAACACTGTGGTTGGTCACTTCTAACTTGTTCACTTGTCCCTGTTACTGAAAATAAGTAATCTAACTTTTATAATGTGCTTTTGACCACTGTTTTATTCTGTTTCACATTTCTTAGTCTTTCCTCTAGAGACCTCCAATTTGTTAACATTTTTCTCTTTCTTGAAAAAGTTTTCATGAATACTGCCTCTAGTGTAGTATAAGTCACCCAGAAATTCTGCCTCTTCCATTCAGAGTACTTGTGCCTCACTGAGTATCTGGCTCATGGCCTTTATTAGCTGTTTAATTCTAATAAAACTTTTCCTTGAAACCATCTATTTTTTTCTTACTACTGAATGGTTTTCAGTTCTTCCCCCAGCTTTTTAAAAAGAAGAAATGAAAATTAATTTTACTTAGGCATAAACACCATTCTCCTTTCCATTTTATCCTCTTTGTTCTGCCTTTCCTACTGGTCAGCTTTTTTTTATGTCTTCTTTGTTTTTAAAAAGAATGAGGAAAGCACATTCCCTCATCCTGTCTTGTATACCATCTCCACTTTCAATTAAAAAAAAAACTGCTTTCAGCTTTGCAAAAAGAGTTTGCCTTCCCCATCAGTTGTCTGCCCATGCTTTGGCTCAAGGGATGTTGGGAATGGGAACCCTTTGGCAACTCCTGAGATTGCATGGGAGAAGTTGGATGGGCACAGGGGAAAGAGGATTAGAAGTTGTGATTGGCAGTTCCTGGGGAGAGAACAGGTGAAGGGATTTATGAAACCACCATGAAGGTATTTTTAAACTAGCTCAGCAAAAGTGTGACCACATGTTAACTCGGTAGCCTTTTCTAGACTTCCTTTCTCTGACTACAATGGTTCATTTTCATGAGGTCCTTGAAGTGGGAACTCCCTTGACTGTCATGCTATGGCAGTTTTACTTTTATTGTCATTATCCTTCCTGATGAATCCATTTGAGTCATCTTTGGCCAGCTTCTCTTTTCGTTATCTTGGGGTCTTCCCCAAAGTTCTAGCCAAGTCCCTCTTGCTTTTATACTTGTCAGTTCTGTGTGCTGCCACATCTCCAGATCTCTGTGCTTAGTTTCCTATGCTATACCCGCAGGTTCGCCTCAGTTGTGTGCTCCAATGTGACATAGTAGAAAGAACACTGGATGGAACAGGAGTCCAGAAACTTGACAGCAAGTCTTGGCCCTGCTATTTATTTTTTGTTTGTTTGTTTTTGGTGAGGCATTTGGGGTTAAGTGACTTGCCCTAAGTCAACACAGCTGGTGAATGTTATGAGTCTGAGGCAGGATTTGAACTCAGGTCCTCCTGACTCCAGAGCTGGTGCTCTATCCGCTGTGCAACTTAACTTCCCCTGGCCCTGCTATTTCTTAGCATCGTGGATAAGCCATTTCATCTTGCATAGCCCCAGTTTCTTCCTCCATAAAATAAGGGGGTTACAGTGGAGGATCTGTAAGGTTTTTGTCAGCTCAAGCATTCTGGGATTTCTTTATCACTATTAGAAGGAAAATGACCATTTTTCCTTCCCAGGCAGTCTGAGTGTAACAGTGTACCTGATGATATTTACCTCTATCACATCATTGGTCAACAGTTCAACTATAGGTTCTCCAAAATGTAGTCAAGCACTGCAAAACTTAAGGCACTGTGTGATTACTAGATATTAGTACTAATTTCTAAAGGTGATTTATCTCCCTCCTTCCTTTTTTTAGCTAATGATTACAGTAGCACTTTATATTGCACTTTAAGGTTTACAAAACACTTTATAAATATCTTAATTTATTCTCATAATAACCCTGAGAGGTGCTATTATGATGCATATTTTACAGATGAGGAAATTGAGGCTGAGAGAAGTTAAGTGACTTACCCAGGGTCACATAACTATTTACATGTCTGTAGTTGGATTTGAACCTAGGTCTTCCTGATTCTTACGTCCAGTGCTCTATCCACTATACCACCTAGGTGCCTCATTTCTTCCTGTTTCAGCTAGATACCTCCTGTGCCTAAATGTTTTGCCCTCTGTCTTACCTAAATTCTCTCCATTTTGGACTCTGCTCTCATTTTGCCCCTTGGATCCTGCCAAGACTCTTGACCAAAGAATAGGAAATATATGGAGAAACATTGAATGAGGAGGTCTCTGTGCAGATCTGCACCTGTTCTGGAGCTAGACTCAGAGAGTTACCTAGAACATGGCTGGCCCAGGGTCACCCAGCTAGGAAGAAATGTGAGAATTTCCTAATGTAGAATATTTGATTGAGGGAGCACCCCAGGCTTTTATGTAATTAAAGCTATTTATAAGTGTGACTATTCCACAAGTGTTTGTTGACTGAGTTTCTTTGCCCTTCTGGTTTCTTCATTATAGTCATTGATTTATGTCAGTGAAACTTTCCTATAAGGTGGTGTGATAGTCTTTGTCAGTGGCTGTTTGTATTATGCCACACTCATAGGTAAGGAAACTGAAGTAATGAAAGGTGTATTGACTTTTCCTGAGGTCATAGGCAGGATTAGAAACCAGTTGTTCTGACTTGTAGCTTGGTGTTCCTTCCACTGACAATATAAACCCATTCTGCCTCTTTTTAAAAATTTTATTTTTTAAGCTTTCCAGCTAGTGATTTATTTTAAGTGACCTTTCCTCTCTTTTTGCATCTCATAACCTTTTGACATCATCTACTTTTCTCTTTTCTTTTCTTCTTTGATGAAGAAGTCGCCCTTCTCAAGGAGACCAGTGACTTCACCTATATACTCTTATTGTCCCCTCCTGTGTTCCGATAAGTCAACCCTGACAGTCATCTCCCTCTTCCTTCTAATTATCAGTCTCTCCTCATCTACTAGTTTCATCCCTACTACCTACAAAAACACCCAGGTTTCTCCCATGCTTTTTAAAAGACAAAACAAATAACCTTATTTTTCCCTCAAACCATAATTCTATAGCTGTCCTCCGTTTCTCAGCCAAATTCCTAGGGAAAAGTTAGCCACTTTTCTCTCTCCATCCTCTTCTCCCCTTAACCTTTCACATTCTGGCTTCCAGCTTCATTACTCAAATAAATGTGCTCTCTCCAAGCTTGCCAGTGATCTCTTCATGTCTAAATCTAAATGGCCTATTCTCAGTCCTCTTCCTAGTATCTGCAGCCTTTGAAACTGTTGACTATCTTTTTTTCATGGATACTTTTTCTTCTCTGGGTATTTCTAACACTGCTTTCTCTTCATTCTCCTACTATCTGACTGCTTTTTTCAGTCTCATTCGTTAGATTATCATCCATGCCTGTTCCCTAATTATCCCAAGACTGTTCTAGGCCTTCTTTTCTTTTAGTACTGTCTCACTTGTTGACCACATCATCTCCTATAGGTTCAGTTACTAGCTCCATGTAGATGACCCCCAAGTCTGTCTGTCTATCTGTCCATCTGCCTGTCCATGTATCTATCTATGTATCTATCCATCTATCTATCTATCTATCTATCTATCTATCTATCTATCTATCTATCTGTCTATCTATCACTTTAATTTCTTTCCTAAGCTCCAGTCTCAGCTGCCCATTAGACATTTCCTGCTGGAACCTCCCATATGCATCTTAATATGTTCAGAACAGAACTTCTGTCTTCCTAAGGTTGTCCCATTTTCAAACATCCCTTTCCCTATAAGATCACCACTGTCCTGACAGTATCCCAGTTTCTAAAGCTGTGTCATCCATGACTCCTCACTCTTCCTCATGCCTCACATCTAGTCATTTGCCAAATTTTGTCATTTCTCTTTCCACAACTTCTCATGCAGTTGCACAACTTCTTTTCCAGTCACACGGCTGCCACCCTAGTTCAGGCCCTCATTCAAGCGCCTCGTCACCTTCTACTTAGACTGTTGCAATAGCTTCCTACTCAGTCATTCAGTTTCAAGTCTCTTCTCATTCCAGTCGATCCTTCATACATCTGCCAAATTAATTTTTCCTTAAGCACAGGTTTGACCATGTCACTTACCTACTAATAAACCCTAGTAGCTCCTTATCACCTCTGGGATAAAATACAGACTCTTCACTTTGACATTAAAAGCTCTTTATTGACCCCATACTTAACCTTTCTAGCCTTATTACACATTATTTCTCTTCACACACTCCACAATCCAGCCATCGAACCTTTTTTTTTAAACCTTTTCACTGGCTATCCCCCATACTTAGATTACATTTCCTAACCTCTTTCTCTCAGAATTTCTAGTTTTTTTTCATGACTCAGCTTGAGGGTCTGCTTCTACAGGAAGTCTTTCTAATCTGACTGCTAGTGCCTCTTCTATTACTTTATTTTGTATATTTTATTTATCTACGTATGTCTCTCCAAATAGAATGTAAGCTTCTTGAGGGCAAAGACTTTATATTCCCAGGCCTAACGTAATGCTGTAATAAGTGCTCATTTATAAAGATTGATTTTTTTGTTGAATAGATATATAGTATTGATCTATACTGATACATACTGACTAAAGTGATCCCAATATTTTAGTGCTGTTTTTAAACTTTACATTTACATATGTGTTTTCCTATATTTAACTCTTTATTATCCATAGGAAACTTGTACATAGACTCCAGGCAAAACCTCCCTCCTTCAGTGATGCCTCCCCCTGGCTATCCTCACATCCCACAATCACTTAGCACTCCAGGATCAACAATTGCAGGTAATTCAATTTAGCTTCCCTCTTTTGGGGTGGGCGGGTGTGTGGTAGGTATGATGTACATAATCTGTATTCAAAGTACGCTACTGAATCTCCTTTTAGCTTATCATGGGTCTACACACTCAGGAAGCCCAGGAGTATATAAGGACTCTCTCAGGGTCTCAGTTTTCCATCATTCTGTTGAGCTATACACTGTTCAGGCCACTGTGACTTGATTTTGCCATCTAGTACTCAGAAAATCTCCAAGTCATAACTTTTGGAGAAATATAGCCAAATGATGGTTCAGTTCTTGGCACCACATTTTTGGAAGAACATTGACATGTTAACATATGTGTGTGGGGATGGCGAGAGAGGTGGAGGTGGGGATGGCTGTTGTGGCAGTGATAAGGATGATGAGAAAAACTCTCTAAATCATGCCAAAGTACAGTTGGTTAAAGTCATCAAGATTAGAAGAGATGTCTTAGAGGAAACATGATTGCTGTCTTTGATCATCTGATAGACCAGCTTATGGGAAAGATTAGTCTTGTTTTGCTTGGCTCCAGAGGGCAGTTTCAGAGATGAAGGTTTCAGCTTGATATGAGGAAGAAACTTTAACATTGTGCTCTCCAAAAGTGGAATGGGCTGTGTTTGGAGGTAGAGAGTGTCACATCTCTAGAGGTCTTCGTGCACAGGTTTTATGGCCTGTTGCTGGAGATAAGTGGAGGGGATCATTTGTAACTAGCAGCAGGTTGGATTAGGTGCCCCTGAGGTACCTTCCACGTTTTGAAATTCTTTGATTCTGATAGTACAATTTGAGCCATAGAGGTTCAAGTAGTTAGGAAGATAGTTCCTCCCCAGTGCTTATTTATATCATGGAACGTTAAAAGTTTGTATCATCAGCAAGATAGGGAACTATAGCTTGAGTAAAGGACAAAAGATAGCTTCCTTGAAGGGAGCTTATCATTATCATCATCATTATTATCATTATTATTATTATTATTGTTATTATTATTATTATTATCATCATCATCATCATGATTTTCTCTAAGCAACCAGTTGTGGCATATTAATAACCTCTTAACAGAGCAACAGGCTTGGAGAAAAAGAGGAGAAATTGAGAATTATCTTTTTTTGGTGTTAGCAGGGCTTTTGACTACCAAATGATATTCTCATCAATAAAATGGAGTGGGTAAGAGATGGTTTAAATGAGGGCTTTTTGGCCTCTTAATTTTGCTTCAGTCTTATATATGTTTCTCAGTATTCCTGAAGTCGTTGTACACAGAAAGGTACACAGAAATTCTGCTAGTTTGGCAGGCCTGAGGTAGAGAAACCTTAATTTTTTTTAAAGATTACATCTGCCTGTGATAATGAAGTACAAGGGCTGTGTACACACACACACACACACACACACACACACACCACACACACACACACACACACGCACACACGCTTATAGCTACAGTGGGCTTTTATACCACCAAGGGTAGAGTCGGAAGGATTCGCAAAGATCACAGAATCATAGGATATAGAGTTGGAGGAGACTTTAAAAACTGTCTCCTCTAATCCAGTCCTCTTACAGATCAGAAAGCCAAAGCCCAGAGAGATTTAAGTGACTTTCTCAGGGCCATACAAATATTAAGTAGCCAGAGTCTGACAGAGTCAGTGCTTCTTCTTCTATGCCACACTAGCTCACTTTAGAATGACATAGGGGAAGAGCTTAATAAGAGTAACAGTCTTTTGGGTAAGGAGTCAGAAGTTTCTTAGGACACCGTTGACATTCTCTGTACATGCATCCCCTTTTCTGGTAATCTAGAAAAGCCCTGCCCTGCTCACATTTCAGATTTGTTTCCCCAAGTCTCTGCTACACTACTGGAATTCGGCTCACTGACTGATGCTCTTATGCTCTCTGAAAGTAGAGTGATGTGTTTATTGCATTATTCCTGATCTCTGAAAAAATGGCCTGACTTTTCCATTTTTTTGCAGGACATCATGGAGCAATGAGCCAGCAGCATATGATGCCTTCTTCAGCCTTCCAGATGCGCCGCCCTCTGCCTCCAGATGACATTCAGGATGACTTTGATTGGGATTCCATTGTGTAGGACTTTTGAGGGCATAAGAACTCTGACCTTGTTTTCCCAGTTTAAAAAAAAAAGTGAACCTGAATTCACTAATGACAAGGTGAAGATTATAATCACTATAAAGATGCTATCTAAATTTACTTTGAAGACAATCAGAAATATTTAGCAGGATAACTTATGGCTTTTATTTGACCCAAACAAGTACTCCATGTCCGTCTCCCTGCCAGCTGCCATAGCTCATTACTGTCATGTGATTTGGACAGCTTTTAGCTTGTGTTGGTTTGATGTTGACCACAAGTGCCAGACTGATTTCTAGACAGAGCCTCTTTTGCTGCAAGCAGTTTATAGATACATATGTGTAAATATATGTACAAAAGTAAGAAAATTAAACTTTTTCTTAATTGGGTTATGATGTCTTAAGAAAAGTTACTGTGTGAGTTTTTCTACCTTATCATAAAGGCTCTTTTCTGTACGATTCTTTTCTTTCATGTAGGTAATTAATAAGAAGTTAACTTTTCTAAGCCCAGTTTCCTTTAGTCCCCCTTCACCATTCTGTAGGCCAAATAGTACATGTGCATTTGACTTCTGCCCAGCAAGCAAAGGAATTCAGAATCCACAGTTTGAAAGTTTGTTACACAAGCTGAAAGTGGCAAGTTTTTCATGGGTAGCTGAAGACAAAACAGACCAAAGTCGTTTAAGTTTTTGAAATTTTGTCATTTTCTTAGCATACGTTGTCAGTGGCCTTTATGTTCATTTAAAAAATTCTCTGTGATGACTACAAGATTCATTTGAGCAGGTAGAAATTGAGCACAGCCTGATGCTTTAAGCAGTTAATGCTTATACTTTCACTTCCTAATGTATTTATTATTATAAAGTTTTATTTTAATATTTATTAATACTATCTTCTGTGAAAGTTCAGCTCCAGTGGGGCTCATTATGGAGAAATAGGAAAGTTAAAGTAAAACATGGTTACAGTCCTGAGTAATTGTGGATGAACCAAAAGAACCTAAATTGTCTTCTGTGTAGTTACTTATTCTGTATGTTCTGGGAATAGTCACCATTTCTCTGCTTTGAGTCTACGAAGCTTAGTAGGTAGAGAAAGATCCTTCAGTAGTCAATTCAGAGTTCATTTGGGTAACTGAATTCATTCTAGAACCTAGAAAGTGGAAGAAGTTAACCTCTGTCAGTTTCCCTTAAAATCACACTGAAACTATGGGAAAATCTTAGATTTCCTCTCCTATTCAAGTGACAAATTTGAAGTTAGCAGACCATTAGACAATTACTTGGAATTGGACATTTTCAGGTTTTTGTTTTATTTCATAGTTAATACAAGTATGCTTTTTTTCTTAGTTTTACTGTAAAACTAGAAGAAACAAATTTTGAAAATTGAAACATTTAGAATCTTCTGTGAGGGAGAAGGAAATTTGCCAAAATTTCTCTCTTTACATTGGAATACCAATAGGCTCCATCTAATCAAGGAAAGAATGAATGCCTGTCTACCAACCATTCTGTAGAAGATCTGGTCCCCCTAACCATTGCAGTTGAGAAGAATGGTTATTCTGTAGTTGGGCAGCAGAATTTCTTAACTAGAAAAAACCACACATCTTTGTTCTTTTAAGTGCAGAGACAGTAGAACATTATCTTAAATGAAGCACAGGGAGACTTCTCATTGGGTTAGTGATGGAGACGAGGGAGCATCTTAATGTAACCCAGTTACCTAGATCCTTTTCCCTAATGGCAAAAAACCTAGAGGTCCCTTCTTAGAAAATGCAGAGATAAAATAGTTGATAGTAATAGCCCATAGAAGATAAGTTTAGATTGTTTGTTCAAGGCCAGGTTAAACATTTCACTGTCAGTAGAAGCTTCCAGTCTGTTTAGATTATTAAGTAGCAATATGCACTTTAAAACCATTTTAGATATTTGAATGCAATTTTACACAGAGGGATTTAGTTAGAAATGTGTACTCTAGCTAACCACTGACTGAAATTTTGCAAATTGTGTGAGGTTAATTTCCAATTTGGTAATAATTTGTTGATTCACAACTATCAGTATTTTTATGTGGATTTAGAATTAGCAAGAATGGATCCTGAGGTGAAGTCTCAGTACTATCTTACAATTCCCTTTCAACCATTTTGTGGTTCAGAAACATGGACAAGTTTTTTCCATAGAAAACCATCCCTTTGTGCCTGGACCTGGGTCTTTATCCCGATATGCTCTGGGTGGTTGCTGTGTTTCATAGTTACAAATTCAGAAGTTATGCCTTGTGCTTAAATTAACCATACACTTTTTGGAAACATTAATAAATGTGCAAAACTCACAGTGGGGCAGCCTGTCCAGGAGAACAGTGCAGCTGGCATTTGTGGCCTGGTTTTTTGAATGTCAATGTGTCAATGTGCTTTCCTGTAAATATTTGTCTCTCATGTCCTTCTAGGGTGGGAGGGAATCGACCTGGGGATTATTTCCAATGGAATAGAGTATTTTGATATTGTTCATTCAGAGGGTGATGTGTACATATCTATATTGTATATATGTGATGAAAATGCATTGGCTTTTTGTGCATCACAACCTTTTATCTGTACTGCTGTTCTACAGTCAGTGTTTTAATGTTTCTACCGTTTTGTTATTGCACGGTTTACTACTTTGCCTCTATGATGAACGGCACGGATTCTTTGTAACAGTTTAGTGCTGTAGAATATATTCCAAGTGTCATTAGGATTGTTGCTGCCAGAACTGATATGCATGAATGGCACTTAAAATAAAGATATTACGTTAACTCCATTTTTTTAAAAAAAATTGATTTTTATAAGTTGTTTGCTGTAATTGAGGGAACAGATCTAAAAACATGTCTTCAGAATAGATACAGAAACACGTAAACAGTCTATTAAAACATGCCAGTACCTTGTAATCTGAATGTTTTCTAAGTGTTTGTCAGTGTCCCATGTTCTGTTGTTCAGAGTAAGAATTTTTTACCTGGGCCTTTTCGGAAAAGAAAGAAGGGGCCCCTCTTACAGTTTTGCCATTCACCAAGCATAAAACTCGGATCAGCAGACATTTCCGGAAAGCCCAACGTGTACCTTTGCTGGGCATTAGTGATACAAAGAGGAATAAGACTATAAGATCCACCCTCCACAAAGCTCAAGAGTCTAGTCAGGGATATAGGATATGGACCCATGAGTTGAAGAACTGATTTAATTATTATGGGCATTCCATTCTGTTTAATGAGCTGCTGTGGCAAAAAAAAAAAATTTAAAAAAAAAATCCATCGCCTTGTGACTAGTAACCCTGTTGGTCTTTGCTGGTTCTCAGACTGTAAGACACACAGGCTACATTCCAAGCCATTCCAGTTTGGTCAGACCTTCCAGAATTTGTGTTCCCCATGGTTACTCAAGTAATAATACAAAATCAGAAGTATAAAAAGGCAGTATTTGATTAAGCACCAGCAAAGCAGAGAGTGTTCAGAGAGGGGAGCAGTCTCAGAGGGGTTGTTTGAGCTGGCTCTTAAAGGATTCACAGGTTTTATATGGTGAGAGTATTCCAGGTGAGTAAAGTGGCTCTTCTCTAAAACAAAATTTACTTATGTCTCAGTATTTACTATCTGCAGTAATCATTATTTTTACAAACTTGAACATAGCAAGATTCAATCCAGAGGAAGAATCTCAGGGATGACTTCTAATTCATGCAGACTTCTTGCCTACCTGTGGGCTTGGAAACAAGAGTGGGTCTTCTCACTGGAAGATGGGAAGGGATCACAAGACATAGAGAGTGCTAGAAGCAGCGAGCTAGCCTTCAACTAATCCATTTCCCCTGTTTTAGAGATGGGAAAACTAAGGTGTTATAACTTTCCCAAGATCACACATGAAATTCCTTATCACCAGAACTGAGACAAGAACCCATGCCTCTGACTTAACTGTCAGTCCAGTGCCATTTCTAAGAACAACACTGAATTCATTTGTCCGTTCAACTGCTATTTACTAACTGTCTAATGTGTGTATACAGGGTCCTATGCTTAGCACTACAGGGTATGTAAAGGTGAATGATTCCTCTCCTTAAGTCTGATCAAGAACTAAAACATGTACATACATAACTTACATGTAATATTGTGAAGAAGAGGAAAAAGGTGGGATAAGATCAGGGAGGGCTTCATGGAGGGAGTAGCCTTGAATATGGACAAAGGGAGAAAAGTTGCTAAAGTTAAGAAATTTTATAACAGCCAGTACTGATTTCTTTCTATGGTTCACCTCTTAAAGCCTAGGTAGGCTTTAGGAGGACTAGAAAGGATTTAATGGGGCAAAGAGGCCACTGGCATCATGGGGCGATAACTTTTTGAGCTCATTGTTGTTCTGCTGTGTGCCAAGTAGCTGAAGTTACTGTTCTAGCTAGTTGTAAAGTTTGGATATAATCTTGCCCTGGTGGAGTTTGGGAGTCTACTGAATTAGCCACTAAAGGGACCTGAGCAAAATGTGGACAGGTTCTGGTCATGATTAATGCGGTTGGTGGCCCCTCTTGGTCACCAGAGGGCACCAAGCAAACAGCTTCCTCTTGTAGAATTTAGGGTAGTGAATCAGATCAGTTTCCTTGTTAACTGTGCCTCTGTGATCTGTGAGTGGGGTGTCAAGCCCTGCCTTGGGCCAGTCTTCCAGAGACCCCCAAGAATTCCCAGGATATAATGACATGGAAAGACCCTCGAGTTGGAGTCAAAGGACTAGATTTCAAATTCTAGTTCTGTTGACTGTGTGACCTTGGGCAATATCCGTGACCTCTGCTGGCCTCCCTATTTCCCAGTCAGTAAAATGGAATCCCTTCTAGCGCCAACCTATTTGACAGATATTTCATTAATATCTACCACTATGTACAGAGCATTCTGTTATGTTAGAGGAGATAAAATGTGTTAGACAAAATCCTTGTAGTGGCCCCTTTTCCTCAGCTCCTAGAAGTAGGATTTCCAGCTCAAGGTCATTTTTCCTTCAATGGCTTCACTTTGAGCCCTTCTGCACATTTTCCAGGAGGACTTAAGAAGAGAACCCAACAGAGACCCAAAAATCCAGGAAAGGCCGCAAACCTTAAGTCCACAAATCCATTTAGAAGTTGCGTATGTTTATCTTCCCTTTAGAGCTGGAAAAGGTCTTAGAGATCATATGACCCAATGCACTCATTTTATAGGTGAAGAAACTAGGGTCCATAGAAGAGAAGTCAGAGCTGGAACTTTAGAAACCAAATCTTTAGACACCAAGTCTAATTCATTTTAGGGCTGGTGAATGAAGAATCTTCAATATAGGCACTTGATAGGTGTCTCAGAGACTCTTCGGCTCTAAGTAAGTCCCTGCTCTTGATTGCAAGTCTCAGAAAATGTGGGAACGGGCTTTGAGTTGTTGGGTTTTTTGGGTTTTTTAAGTGGAAATAGCTTGTGTTGAGCCTCCACATTTCCACCTTCTAACTGCGGGATAACTGACTGGGACCTTGATTTCCCTGTATTCACTCTTCTCCTCATTCCTCTTACTCTTTTTTGTCTCGTGCTGGCTCTTATCTCTCCCAACTCTTTGTCCTCTCAGGCTTTATCCTCAGATCATCTCTTAACTACATTCCTTTGACCACCTTATTGATTCCCATGGCATTAATGTCTCTGTGCAGATGTCTCCCAAATATACATGTTCTCCAAACTCTACCTCCACCCTCTTGTCTGTCCACCACTAACCCACATTTCCAACTGCTATCAGTACATCTTCATTCAGATGTGTGTGTGTGTGTGTATTAAAAATCAGGAGCTCCTCAAACTCAACTTAAAATTTATCAAAAAATGGAGTTGTTTGTTCCCAACCAACCAACAGGCATTTTTAAAGCATGCACTGTATGTAATAGAGCCAGTGTGTTGACAAACTCAAAAAGAAATGGATCCCTGGGCCACAGATTGATGTGGAAAACCATAAATTTATCATTATTTGTGTTGATTTTGTTAAACAGTTCCCCATTACATTTTCATCTGGTTGCTGCTAGGAAATTTGACACCTCTGCTATAATGGATAAAGAGCTGGTCTCATCCAAGAAGATCTGGGTTTAAGTCTTACCTCTGACACATACTGGCTGTTGGGGAAATCATTTAACCTTTCAGTGCTCCAGTCAACTCTCCTGTTGAAGAGGTGACAACCTCATGGTAGAGAGAGTTCCCTTACCTGAAATTTCTCTGTATTAATGAAATCACAAGTTCATTGCCTAGCTTTGTAAGCTGCCACTGTCCTAGGTGCTGGAGATACGAAGACTAGTGTGCAGCAATCCTTGCCCCCAAGGAGTTTATAATCTAACAAGTAAAACAGCATTACCTATATAAGGATATAGAGAATAGATGCAAAATGAACCACTCAGCCTGCATTTCCTCCAAACTTCCCTATTTCTTTTGAGGGCGCCGTCATCTAGTCACCCAGGTTGGAAACCATGGATTCATCTCTTGAATCTTTGCCTCTTCTTCACCTTCCCACATCCAATTAGTTGAAGAATCTTGTCAGTTCCCCCTCTACGATGTCTCTTCTGACTGGAGTGTCAGTCCAGTGCCATTTCTAAGAACAACACTGAATTCATTTGTCTGTTCAACTATTGTTTACTAAATGTCTAATGTGTGTATATAGGGTCCTATGCTTGGCACTACAGGGTATGTAAAGGTGAATGATTCTTCTCAAGTCTGATCATCTTCAATTTACCCTAATTCAGACCCTTATTACTTGTCATCTAAATAATTGTAATAACATCAACTGGTCTCTCTCCAGACAGTTTCTGATTGTCTTTAGACCCAGCAGTATACTTTAACTTGGCTGTTGATACTTGAAATATGAGGTCCTTGTCCGATGATTGCTGAGGATCTGAATCATCTCAATCTTGACATTCCCACTATAAATAAAACCTGAGGAAGGGAGTTGTAGTTAAATGAGATAGCTCCCAGGAAAGGCAAAGAAAAGAGTTGGCAGAGTTGGTTTTTATCACATTCCCAAAGGCAATCAGAAACTCAATTTCACTGAATAGTTGGTCACCTTGAATTGTTGAACTCAAAAGTATTTGTTTGAAAAAACAAGTATCATGAAAACAATTGTAGCTTATGCATCAAAATCCATTGCAGAGGGAGAGAAATACTGAGAAAAACTCAACCTCCATATTAAACCAACATATACTTTGATACTTACAGATTTCAATGGGAAGATGGGAATAGGTAAGGATATTGAGAAATATATTAGAAACATTAGGTCAGGAAGGAGGAATGAGAGAGGTCAAAGACTTGCAGATTACACAGAAGCCTCAATTCTGCACCATGAATACCCTGAAAAAGAAATTGATAGGCACAGAACATGCCTAATAAGAATAATGATGATAATAATATAGCACTATGTAGTAGGTACTGTGCTAAGCACTTTACCACTATCATCTTTTGATCCTCACAACAACCCATTTTACAGGTGAGGAAATTGAGGCAGAGGAGTCACTTGCTCAGGATCATGCTAGTGTCTGATGCTAGATTCGATTTCAGGTCTTCCTGACTCTAGGCCTGGCACTCCATCTACTGCACCAGTTAACTGAACATCATAATAAAAGATGAAATAAATTGCATTTTAATGGACAAGAAAATATTTATTAGTCATCCATGAACCAGCTGTTTCTGTATAGTCTTGAAGCGAAGATCTGAATTATTAAAAAGCTAGACAAAATAATTATAAAGACAAAAAGATATGGCATGGAACTGTATTGAATCTTGGTTTATTTAAACAGGTTATGGACAGTGAAATATGGTCAGTAGACAA